CAGCTGCAGGCACCTCGCTAAGCCTTTCTTCGGACCTCCCTCCTTGCCAGGGTGGTCCTGCTCCACTGGCCAGGGCCTCGCTGCAGCTGGAACCCAGCCGCAGCCCACTCAGGGCAGCTCACTGGGCCCTAAAGTAACAAACCGGAGTCACCAGGAGATTCCATGGAAATAAAGCCACCTGCCTTTCATTTAATAGTTTATTTCATAAATTTTTATGATCCCCCCAATATTCTCATGCAGCTTTGAATGAACTAGATGTAAGCATTTTAGTTTAAAATATGTCAACTGAGCTTGTGCGTGGATAGAAGAACAGGAGCCACTCTGGCCTTGTACACACACTTCTCTTGGGTTTACACCCTCGGTGTCTCAGGGAACTTTGCAAGTTCTCTGCTAGCAAGCAGTGATGGAGATTCTTTTGCACAGAAGTATTTAAGGTGGGATAGCAAAACACATAACAGAAGATTCCTTACCAGTTTTTCATATTGGTGTTACTGTTGACTAGGCTTTGGGGTATTGCAATAAAGCGATAAAATGTTAGAAAATTGCATTTTCATCATTTTTCCCCATTGATTAACCTGAGGAACGGAGACAGACGCCTGGGCCCGATGTCCTTTGATCCATCTTCTGCTGGTCCCCAATCGCTGCCCAGGTTTCTGGTGAGGGCACAGGCGTAGGTCCACCTGTCTGGTTTAGGACTTGACGTCTTCACAATCCATGAACGGTGTTCTCGGCACCTTCAGTTCTTATGTGGTAAAAATGTCCCTCTTAATCCCACCAGCCTGCAAAGCCAGGCCCCATGTTAGGTTCTGAGCAACCCGCTAGGTGCAGTCACCAGTGGAGTCCCCACCACATGAGGACCCCTTTCTGCTGTCAGCTGCCCTCAAACATGTCACATGAGTGTATGGGTGGAGCAGGGTTAGTACAGAGGATCTCCCGTCTAACCAGAGGGACTGTTAGAGCTTCAGTTCTTACTAAAAACAGCTCATCTAAGAACACAGCCAAAATGCTACAAATTCAAAGCTCTGGTACAAACAGCCCTACTGCCCATGCCCGTTTATTATTGATAACCTAGTTAATTATACCCCATGCTTGAGAGACAGCACTTGAGCAATGATAGAAAGCTCAATCCATTGCCATCGAGCCAGGACAGACTCCCAGCTGACTCTCCAGCAGGTTTTCAGAGGCAGTAAATCACACAGGAGGAGACTGCCCATCTTTCTCTCATGGAGCAGCAGGTGGATTCAAACCACTCACCTTTTGGATGTCAGTGCAACTCTGTCCACTAGCCTGAGGATAGACGTTGGCCAGGGCTCTGTAATTTCAGCCTCTGGGCCACACCGTGTATCTCACTCGGCTCTGCCACAGCAGTATAGAAATTCATGACACCATTTCTTTCCTTGATGTTCCAATGAAACTTTATTCACAAGAATAAGTCTGACCAGAATTCGCTAATCCTGGGTTTAGACAAGACTGAGCATTTTCTGTAATGATGCACTTCCAAGTCCTGGCATCACTACATCCTTAGAGCTAGCAAGCCACTTGTCCTGTGAGTCCACGCGGAGTGTCATGTTACCACGTACTTAGAATGCTGTCTGACGCATGGCTTGGTGTCGGTCCTCATTAGACACCAGAGGAACACAGGGCAGTACCTGTGGTCTGTGCACTAGCAGCAGGGCTGGGCCCTGGGCGGGAACATCTCCCCAAGCTCGCAGCACTTTCCAACAAGGATGGGCTTCCACAAAGCCAAAGATAATGCAGAAGTCAGAGAAGGTGCGTGTGGCCATGAACAGAATCTGCTGCATCCAGGATGTGCCCACCCCTTGGAACTCACAGAAACCCCTTCCACCTCCCTGCGGGCAGCACCTGCAGGTAGTCAGCGGTTCCACAGAGGGAACACCTGCTCTGAGCTGTATTTTCTGCCTCTCACTTTCATGCTGCACCTTCCTGGGTATCTGAGAACACGGGCTGGGGCTGGCCTGATGCAGTCCCCTCCTGTCATGGTCATCTGAAGGGGCAGCTGTGGAGCTGTGCTTGGGGCCTGTCATCTACCTCCTAAAGGGCTGGGCTGTGGAAGGCTCCTGTGCCCCAGAGTCGGCCTCATGGAGACCACTCGGGCCCTACATCCTGACCCCGATCCCAGGGTCTTTTACTTCAGAGTATGTTTGGGGCTTCGTCTGACATACTTTGGACATGTTGTAAGGAGAGACAGGTCTTTGGAGAGGGACATCATGCTTGGGAGGGTGGAGGGACAGCACAGGAGAGGAAGGCCCTCCATGAGGTGGATTGATTCAGTGACTGGGGTAATCGGGATGGGTGTGTCAGAGACAGTGCGATTGGCACAGGATAGAGCAGGGTTTAGGGCTGTTGTACATAGGGTCGCTATGAGTCACAAACGACTCGACGGCACATAACAACAACATGTTTTTAAATGATGCTTAAAACCTGCATGAGCCTACTTTGGAGTAGTGACATCTTTGCAAAGGTTATTTCCCCACCTGCTTATGCTTTCCAGATGATTCAGCTGAAAGCCAAAAGTTGACAGTTTACTTGATTACACAGTAGAAAGATATGGCAGTCTACTTCTTCAAGGTTCACGGCCCTTGAAAGCCCTGTGGGGTTCCACCCTGATGAGAATCACCGTGAGGAGTCAACGCTGGGGCAGCTGGCTTCACCGCACTTCTAAAGGGGTTCGTGGGACAGGAGGGCCTGATGAACGTTTCAAACTTTGGCTCTAGTTACATAAGGTCCATATGAGCACAATTAACGTGCCCTGGGATTCCCATTCTATTAGCCATGATTTGGTATGATCCACAGTCAAATGCCTTCAGAGAGTCAACAGAACCCAGTCTTCTGGTATTCTCTGATTTCAACCAGGATCCTTCTGACATCAGCAGTGATATCCCTGGTACCACGGGCTCTGCTTAAAAAATAGGCATCAAGGTGGAGGTGTGTGCCATCAAGTCAGAACTGACCTGCAGCTGTCCCTCCAGCAGGTCTTCTGAGGCAACTAATTGCATGAGAGATGGTCCAGCCTCCTATGCTGCAGCTGGCCGATTTGAACTGCCAGCCTTCATGTTGGCAATGCAACTCCTTACCCACTAGGCCACAAGAGCTCCACGAGAAGTATCAGTCCAAAAAAAGGCACTTTCCAGACAGCCTTTAACTGCTGGTGGTGTGTGCTGTCAAGTCAGAACTGACCCACAGCTGACCCTCCAGCAGGTTTTCAGAGGCTGTAAATCACATAAGGGTAGGCAGCATGGCGCTGGACACCCGTTTGAAAGTCACCTACAGGAGCTGGTTCTACAGAAGCCGTTGGCTGGAATGGGTGAGCTGTGGGGTGAAATGCTGATTCATTAAGAGAAGTGAGGGTTTGTGATGAGGCCTTCTATTGAAAAACCCATTGCATTGCTGTCCAGAGGTAACTTGTGGTTGCTGAACACTGTGACACTGATGTGCCAAATGCGATAATGGTTACCCATGGTGGACAGTGTTGGTGGAATTCCCAGATTAAAAAAAGCTTGGGAGCAGGATTGGCATCCACTTCCGAAAGAGCTTGCCTCTGGAAACTCTATGAACAGTGCGACTCGACGGCACTTAACAACAATAAATCACAAGAGGAGACTCCCATCCAAAGAGCAGCTGGTGGATTTAAACCATGTGCCTTTAGGATTGCAGTGCAGCTTCTTACCTCTTGGGCCCCAGAGCTCTCTTTAACTGCAATGACCACAAAGGGAGACCTCTGGTCCAATGCCTGGTCTCCCTTTGATTCCAGCAGCTGTGGTTTTACTATTGGGGTGCTGTGTGCTGATGGAGGAGTGGGGCACCTGCCAGGTCCTCCCGTCCCTCTCAGCCTCTCACGATGGCCATGTCTAGGACACTGACCACGGTTCTAATCGTCAGCCTTGAGGAGCTTCACTCGTTAGAAATGAAGCCACCTCAGCATCACTCTGTGCAGCCAACAATCGTCCCCTCAGACTCAGCACAGAAGATGACAGTCAATGGAGGATTGTGAAAAGCTCTTTTATTTAATTGGAACAAGTAAATCAGGCAATTACAAGAATTGTACAAAAATAGCCAGAGAATTCTCTGGCTTCTATTCAGGCGTAACCGGCTGGCATTAGGGCAGGTCACGGTTCTTGAGTGAGGGACCCCACATCGCACAGGGCACGGAGTGCAGGCCGCTCCGCCTGGCCTGCCGGGCGCCCACCTGGGCAGTGGTGGCCACTGACTGAGTTGTGGAGCAAGCGTAAGGAGCGCCCGCAAGCAGGCCGGCTGCCCCCTGAAGGAGCACGCTGGCCCCGTCCAGGGCAGCACTTCGTCCAGCTTCACAGCAGCCGGGCAGCAAAGGGCTGAACACACAGATCTGACTACACACAAACCTGACACCGCCTTCAAGAATGTCCGGAAGGGCTGCGGGTGGGGTGTCACTGTGGGTTGCAGGGTGCACACTCATCTGCTGGTTAGCATTCACGTTAGAAAAACCCTTGTTAGGAGAAAGAAAACTATCTCGAGGAGCAGGTGGCCCTGATGACAAAGGCGGTCCATTCCCGAGGACACGGTCGCTTGCTGCATCTCATCAGTCGAGTGTCTGTCTCCACGGGCAGCACATGCCATGGACCCGTGACCCGGGCAGAGGAATGCGGACACCACAGTCGCCATGACATCGAGGCATCAGTCACAGAACACTGTGACACACATCACAAAGTGTGACTACACCCATTTACCAACAATCCACTGGGTGCAAGTGCTCAACAGAACGGGCTTTGTGGGGGCTGGCATTAGGGCACTTAAGGGGACCATCAGGAACCAGGGACAGCCTGGATCTCATCACAGAGAAACTGGGATTTCATTCTCGTTCTTGAAAACCGGAAGCGCCAGCCATCAAGTCACCAGCAGCCTCTTCGCCAACTTGCACAGCTCCGAGGGGTCTCAAGGCACGTGAATACCCCCACCTCCCTCCTGCAGCAGACAGAGAGGCCAGGGCACCCTGGGACTGGGCCGGCGGGGCCCACAGCTACTGCTGCGCAGCCTGGCCCTTGCAGTAGTTGCTGTAGGCCTCCTCGAACATGGCTTTGCAGGGGAAGCAGGCCTTGAGCTTGGAGCAGATGAGGAAGGAGCCCCCCATCTTCCTGTGCAGGGAGTAGGTCTCCTCGGGCGGGGGCACCAGGCGGTGCTTCAGCATGACGGGGATCAGGTTGTGGATCTTCTCCGTGGTGCTCTGGGTGCCAAAGTCAAAGGGCTCCTCAGAGGCGAAGGCCTCCCCCAGGATGAGGATGGCGTCCAGGTGGGCGTCCTCCATGGCCTGAAGTGTGAGGAGAACAACGGGGCAAGTGTAAGGGCCTATGTGATCACTAAAAGTGAGCTCTGAGTTGTAAAAAGTGCCAGGTAAGTGACAATTTTGCTTTTAGGGGTGGTTTAAAAGATTCCATGATGGTAAATCCAAGCTCAGGCAGTGGCGTTCACTCCCAACAGCCCACACATTCATGCCGCCCTCCTCCTGTCCTAAGCCTACCCATCTCACTCCCACGGAGCCACTGGGGGGCTCTATCTGCTGATCTTAGGGTTAGCCATGCAACACGTCACAAACCACACCACGAAAATAAGACTAATGAGTAAATGGCTAAGTGAACAAAAGGGAGTGGGTGTGGAGTGGTGAAAACTCAGGCACAGTGTGAGCATGGGCCAGGTGTGGGGGGAATGAATCAAGTGGGGGGAGATGGGCCAGGTGTGCAGGGATGGGCCAGGTGTGGTCTATACCAGGTGTAGAGGATGGGCCAGGTGTGGTCTATACCAGGTGTAGGGGGGATGAGCCAGGTGGGGGGGTAGGCTAGTGTGGGAGGTAGGCCAGGTGTGGTCTATACCAGGTGTGAGGGATAGGCCAGGTGTGGGGGATGGACCAGGTGTGGTCTGTGGGGCCCATGTGGTCAGTGGGCCTGGCTTCTGCCATCAGCTGGGTGCATGGTGACACTATTTGAGGACTAAACGTCATCATAGCGTGACCTTAAAGCCTAATGGAGTGAGAGGAGACTCAGGAAGGGGGCAAGGTGCCAGAGGGGACGAGTAGTGGATGTCAATCAGGCGGTGGGTGAAGGGGCTGCTATTCACTGAGGGTTTTTGACGTGGGGAGAGTTCGCTGTTTTACAGGTGCTGTGGGCACAGCTCAGAGCCACTAACTTCACTGCTGACGAGGTGGCCCACCCGGGCTTTAACCTTTTTTTCCCCGCTGCCGAAGAGGAAGGTGCTGCATCTGGGTGATGAGCCAGAACCAGCCCCCCCTTATTTAAAGGGCTGTCAAGGTCTCCCCGTCTCCTCACAGGGCATGGGCTGGGGCTAAGCCAGGTAACACACATCCTGAGAGCTGAGTAAGGGGGTGGCAGGGATGGAGCTGAGCCAGAACACACAGCCTAAGAGTAAATAGCACCAAGGCAGGTATCCCCCAGCTCCCCAGCTATGCCTTCCCTTGGTGCTCCCAGCACCCCACCCTTTCTGGGTACCCCAGGCAGGAGCCCACAGAGAGGGCAGGCCTGGGCTCCCACTGCGAATTTGTCCATACACAGGTTCCACAGTCACAGTCTTTCGATTCCCCAGGCTCTGTGGTCAGCATCCCCATCACCTCAATCCTGAGTACAGGGGCCCTGGGGCCACACTACCCACCTTGACTTCGTAGCCAGTCAGGAATTTCATCTCTATGGACTTCTTCAACACCTTCTCCCGGTCCCTGTCTGCCGCAGCCCTGATGATCTAGGTGGAAGCACAGGGCACCTGAAGGGCAGCTCAGAGAAAGGCTCTGGGGTCCCTGGACCACACCACCCACTGCTTTCCCACAGGCCAGTGACCAGAACTCTTCATTCTCCTAATGTTCACCCTCCGAGACCCAGGCCTGCGCCTCCACCAGGCCGGGCCATCCACGGTGCCTAGCCCACGATGACCTGGCGGCCTTCTGGGGATCTGTGCAGACGGGCCACACTGGCCACACTCCCAACCTCCCTCATGCCCTCAGCACCCATGCTGCCTCAGGAAACACACTGGGCTCAGACCAGACTCTGCTGGTACCTGGATGTAGAGGTCAGTGAAGGCTTTGTCATACTCCCGAGTTGCCCCAAAGTCCAGAAGAGCCACCTGGAGGCACGAGACATCAGGAGAAGGTTAGGAGAGTTGACAGGAATGGAATGATCCCCTTACGGCAACATGAGAACCCCAGATTCTCCCGGGAGGAGGAACTGGCCAAGGGGCTCACAGCCTGGTGAAGAGATGGGCTGGGGTGGGTAGGGGCTAGGCAGGTGGGCTGAGGCGGGGTGGGTGGGGCTTGACAAGATGAGTGTGGTTAGGTAGTGTAAGGTGAGGTCAGGTCAGGTGGGTAGGGCGGGGCTAGGCAGGGCGAGGAGAGACTAGATAGAGTGGTCGTGGCTATGTAGGTGGGACTGCATATGGTGGAGTGGAGGGGGGCGGGGTGAGGAGAGGCTAGACAAGTAGATCTAGGTAGGTAAGACTATACAGGATGTGTCTAGGCAGGATGGGCGGGGCTGGTGGGGTGAGGAGGTGCTATGCTGAGTGGGCGGGGCTATGCAGATAAACGACATGGGGTGGGGCTAAATGGCTTTAGGCTTGGCTGGGTGGGGCAGGTCTAGGCAGGATAGGGCGGAGCTAGGAAGTGTGGGGAGGGGACTAGACATGGTGGGCGGGGCCATGTAGGTGGGACTATATGGGATGGGGTGGAGTGGAAGTAGGCTGGGTGGGGAGGGGCTAGACATGGTGGGCGGGGCCATGGAGGTGGGACTATATGGGATGGGGTGGGGTGGGGCAGGGTTCCATGTGAGCCCTTTGGGGGCTCCACCGGAAGCTAACCTTGTGAAGCTGCGGGTCGTAGAAGAAGTTGGACCAGTTGGGGTCTGTCTGCATGAAGTGGAACTCGAAGAGCTCCCGCAAGCACAGGACCAGGATATTATGGCAGATCTGGACAGGGTAGGGCCTTGTCACAAATGGTCTAAGGCAGAGCCGCCCCCACTGCTGTCTCCTACCCCTGCACCCCAACTTCTATCACAACATGGACTTTGATTCGCTCACGGGAGTGGGAAGAAGGTAGTCGCCCTGTGTCCTCCAGGGCCAGGTGACTACATATAGGCCTTGTCTGGTGACAATCACACTACAGCAAGGGCTGCCCATGCGAACCCACCTCCCACCCCCAGCCCAGACTCACCTCATTGCGAATCTCCTGGCTCAGCCCCTCAGCCTGGTCCAGTGGGAAGCCAGATACCAGCTCAGTGGTCAGCACGTGGGGGCTGCAGAGCTCATCCACGATCTCGGGCACATAGAAGAACGGGTGGTCTTTGAGCAGCTCTCTGGTGGGGACATGAGGTCGCAGGCATGGCAACAGTCCCACCCCCACCCAGGAAGGGCCACAAGGTGCCACCCAGCCCCATCACAGTTACTGGGACCAGGGCAAGGCAGAGAGACCCACAAGCATGGTGCCCACAGCCGAACCTGAACTTCTTGGCACAGGCAGCCTCTCTCTGGTAGTCACACTCCAGGGCCAGCTCCCGCCGCAGCACGTCAATGAGGTGCTCAGGGAACAAGCCTGTGTCAGGAGGGGGACTCAGAGCTCAGAGAGCCCCATCCCCAGGGCAAGCACCCCCCACCGAGCTCCAGGCACTCGCCTAGAGGCAAGCACAGACCTTCAGGAAGCACATTGCTCATGTTCAACACGGCCATGAGGTTGTTCACATCACTGTTGATGCTCTGGGCTACGCCGGGGTACTGTGGGGGAGGCAAAGGTGACCCCACACAGGCAGGGAGGTTCGGCTTAGGGTTCCATTCCCCACAATCTAACAGCCTCCCACCTGTACCCCATGACCCTCTCCTCTGGAGGCGTCTGCAGCTAAGAGCCCAGGACCATCATCAACTCACCCCTGAACTCCACAGCCCCACCCCAGAGCCAAAGAGACAAGCCCCATCCCCACTGTTTACCCCTTACCTCTGCAGCCCCACACGAGAACAGCTAAGAGCAGAGGCCCCATCACCGACTCAGCCCCCACCACCTCCATCCCAAAATCTAAAAGCCTGGCCTCATCACCACCTCACCTCTCCCAGCTCCCCATCTCCACACCCCCACACCAAAGCAGCAGAGGACACATGGGGGAAGGGGAAGCAGAGGGGAAGGGGAAGCAGAGGAGAAGCGGAAGGGCAGGGGGAGAAGGGAGGGCGCCCAGGCTGACCTTGCCCACACCCCCCCCCCCCAGAAATTCAGACCCAGGACCCAGGAGGGTCCAAATCCCTCCAGCTCAGGCCTGCCTTTGGGTCATTCAACAAATGTCCCCTGAGGAACCACTACCATACTTGGCAGCTGGGCTACCGGCCCATGTATGCACACAGGCACATCCCCCCAGACGCCCACCTGGATCTTCATGGCCACCTCGCGGCCCCCCTTCATGCGTGCCAGGTGGACCTGCCCAATGGAGGCTGCAGCAAAGGGCCGCTCCTCGAAGTACTCCAGCTGGTCCCGCCAGTTGGGGCCCAAGTCATTGTTCAGAGTTTTCTGAGGGACAATTGAGGGCATGTGAGCCCAACACAGCACACGGGGCATCCAGAGCAGCAGCCCAGGGCCCACCCCAACTCCCATGGGCCACCCGGATCCCCTGCCATGAAAGGAGCTGAACTCAGACCCAAGGTGGTGGCCAGAAGCCCCAGGGCCAGGCCCCCTCACCAGCATCTGCTTCAGGGGCATGAAGTCGGCACTCTGCCTCACACGCTCAAAGATCTTGGCCAGATGGGGGTTGATGAAGGCGTCGTCTGGAAGGAGAAGTCAGTGCAGGGGTGAGGGCAAACTGCTCGGGGGAGAGCGTAGGCCACGGGCAGAGCACCAACCTCTCTGATGCTCTGTCCTCAAACACCTGGGGCAGGGTCCTGTCACTGACATGCAGGCGACGTGCAGACACAGCCGGTGACAAAGACAAGCTGGAACAGTGGCCTGGCTACAATCCCTCCCTGCACCTGGAATGTTTTCTCTCTTCAGTAATATGTTACTAGTGCTATGGACTGAGAGTCCCAGCAAGACAGTGGGACTGTGCCTGGGGAGTGGTGGGGGGACACAGCACCAGCTCACACACCCTGCAGAGCCCCTGGACAGGAGCCAGCCACAGCCCCACATAATGCCACAAAGCTCTGTGACTGGGGGTCCTGAAAGTTGGTCACTCCCTGACCATACAGCCCCACTGGGGAACTGAAACACTGGTGAGCCGAGAAGGCTGACAATTTTTAGAAATAATGTATAACTTCTAAATTTATGCAATGACGTGGACAATAAACTTAGAATTTTTTCAATTTGGAAATTAAAAAAAAATCTAGTAAAATACTGGTTACTCATAACCTGACCCCAGCGTGAACGAGGAAGCTCTAGTGGCCCAGGGCTAAGACGACATTTGTTAATCCCAAAGGCACACAGCCAGAATCCGCCAGCGGCAACACAGAAGACAGGTGGGCAATCTCCTCGTGTGTTTCACTGTGTCTGAAGGCCTGCTGGAGGGTCGGCTCTGGCCAGCAGTACACAACCACAAAGCGTGGCCAACAAGGTGTGCACCAGCCCGTCCTCCTTCCGCACTTCCCACATGTGCGGCAGACTGAGCGGGAGCAGCTGGCGTGTGCACCCTCTGGCAGCACTTCCCAGCTTATTAAAACTTTCTGCTCCATTTGCAAATATCCTCGTTGTTAGCAGCATAACCCTCCATGCACGTCCTATCTCATTCTTGACTGAACCTCTAAACACAAATGCCAGCTGTGTCACGCAGCCCCCGGTGTCAGAGAGGGCTGCTCCCAGCCTTCAACAACTTGTTCTCACAAGAAGATTCCCAGGCCTTGCTTTTCAGGGGCCTCATGTTGAAGGACATGACCCTCCAAACTTTTGGTTAGTTAGGCAAACACAGCTAACTATGTGCATCACCCAGGGTGTCCGATCAGATAGAACCCCTTTCCACCCTCACCATGTGGCCAGCCAAGCTTCAAGCCCTCCTCCACTGAGTCCTGCCCTTGTATGGCTGTGCTCTCTGCTGTACAGTGAGGGGGTCCCCTCACCAGCTCCTTGTGCACCCCAGGCTCCACCTCAAGCCATGAGAATTCCTTTACTTACACACTCTCTCTCTCTCTTTCACACACACATACACACACACACACACCCCAGCAGCCCCTGTATTCTACTTTCATTGTGTATCTAACCCCCCCAGAGGAGGCCCTGTACTCCACCCCAGAGAGAAGCCCCCCAGGGCAGCACCCTCCTCACCTTGCCCCGCAAAGAAGCCCCTGCACCTCACGCAGCCCCCACTCACCCTGGATGCTCAGCATCTGGCCCAGCTTGAGCGCCGCCCCACGGACCTTGCAGAGCGTCCGCACGATGCGTTCTGCATTGGCCTCTGACAGGAAGGGGCTGGAGTCCAGTATGGCCTTCTTTCCTGTGTAGGGGAGGGAGGGATTATCACACCACTTGTCCCTCTGGGGTCTCTGCTCTTTCCCGAGCACCCCCAACCTCTGTGGATGGAGCAGAGGCCCCACAGACGCCTTTACAGATGAGGACCTACATGGCACACCAAACCCCTCACTCTGGCAGCCATAGAGTCAGCACCCCCCACCGCCCAGTGTCCATTGCTCACAGTGCCAGGAGGGACCACGGGTGCCAGCTGTGGGGTCAGGGGCCTGCTCCAGCCCTGCTCCCTGCTGCCAGCTGTGCCTGTGTCCAGTCAGAAGGGGGCAGTAGCAGACCAGGACTCAGTCTGTCAACAGAGGCTGAGCAAGCCTGTGTCCCCCAGGAGTGTGTGACTCCCTGACCTACACGAGCCCAGGCCAATGCTGTGCAGGACGCCCTCAGGGAGTCATGCCTGCACCCTCCCCTACCCAGAGCTCTCCCATCCACAGGGACCGCACCTAGGGTGGGGTGGGAGGGTCCACTCTAGCAGAGAAGGGGAATGACCTAATCCACAGGGCCCCAGATGGGGAGGGCACCCTGGCAGTTCTTTCCTGGCCCCCTCCCCACCAGTGTACTGGACAAAGGTCACCTGCACCCCGGTAGTGTAAATTTGTCACCTGGGGTCAGCATAGCAGTGAGTGCTACGAAATGGGTCAAGGGCAGCAGATGGACCCCTCTATTATCCTCTGCCCAGAGGCCCTTGTCCAGCTCAACTCTAACTGTGGGTACCCCACGTCCAAGGGAGGGCATGAGTGGGGAGTGACCCGAGTGGAAGGCCCGTGGGGGACTAGGATGGCTGCTCTGCTCCAAATCCAGGAAGGCCCGGCCAGCGAAACACCCCCTCCACCTCCACATTAAGCCCCCTGAGGCTCTCCTGGCCCAGCGTGCCAGATCCAAGAGTCCTCCCAGTGCGGCAGGCATGTGGGCAGTGTTGTCTGGAGAAAGGCTGGCCGGGGCCAGGATGGTGTGGTTTTGAGACTCCTCCCCAAAGCTGGCTAGCCCCACATGTTGGAGGCAGAGGGTCCCACACAGGGCACAGCTGGTTCTGAGGACAGCCAAAGGGGCCAGAAAGGCCTGGGGACAGGGGCAAGAGCCAACTCTAGACAGCTTCTCTTGACAGTGTCCTACAGTTTAAGGGACTCCAGGGCCCACCCTAGCCAAGCACAGAGACCCCTGGCTCCCAATTCTGTCCCAGGAATCTGGTCACCTCTATCCCTGACAAAGGACACCAGCTGTAACCCTGGAATCAAGCTGCCCTCTTCCCTCCTTGGGACAGAGTAAAACCGGCTTGGGGGGGGGGGGAGAATGCTGGCAGCCTGGCTCTCCAGAGAACCCAAGGCTCTATTACCATATGATCTCAGCACCCCACTACCTATACCAAACCGTCCCCAGCCACAGCCTCCAACGACAGCCTGAGGGCTGGGAACAGCAAGCACCCTTCCCACCAGAAGGGCCTGCGGGGTGGCTTCTGAGGGAGGAGGCCTGTCTGGCGGCCACGTATGCAGGACACAGACCTGCTCCCAGGGACGCTCCCAGGGACACTCCCAGGTTAGTGGGGCAGTGTGACCTGCCAGAATGAGCCCCAGCTCACTTCACCAGTATATCAGGAGCTCCACAGGGCAAGGCTGACCTCTTCACTGCTCCAGGGGAACCCCCACTGGTTTTAGTCCTCCTTAGGCCTGGGTGCCCTTCACCACAGCCACATGGGCCCAGGCACTGGCCCAGCCATACCATGGGAGGCTCTGGGGAAGTAGGGCCAGGACGGAGGTGAGCTTAGCGGTCAAACATCAACCTGAGGTGAGGATGCAGCACGCAGAGCGGGCCAGGAGGGGACAGCGGTCGGGCCTGACCAACACACTGGCTGCACCGGAACCCAGCTGCTTAGTCCGCCTGGCCCCAAGAGTGTCAGAGCAGGACCGTGGCCTACGGTTTTCAGCATCTGACTCCCAGGGTCTCTAGGAGACTCAAACTTCTGACCTCTAGGCAGTAGCTGTGTGCTTAGCCCAAGGGTCACCTTCCTGTCCTGCCAAGGGTGTCACACCCACAACACTGCCTGTCTGGGGTGTAGGCAGGCATGGCGACAAGAGTCAGCATGGAGCTGGCCACTCACGCCGTGAGCACAGGAGGACCGAGAGCACCCACCCTGAGCACCCACTCCTCCGGGTCCAGGGCCCCCTCACCTGAGGGATCCCCAGGGAATCCCTATTCCTAAGCACTCACCCCTCCAAGTTCAGGGCCATCCCTGCCCACTCCTGAGCACCTATCCCCTCTGAGTCCAGGGCCCCCCTGACCTGAGGGATCCCCAGGGCACCCCTAGTCCTAAGCACTCACACCTCCAAGTCCAGGGCCCCCCATTTCTGAGCACCATCTCCTCCAAGCTCAGGGTCCCACACACCTGAAAGATCCCCAGGGCACCCCTATTCCTGACCACTCACCCCTCCAAGTCCAGGGCCCTGCTCACCTGAGGGATCCTCAGGGCGAAGGCTCTTCTTGGCGACTTCAGCCAGTGCCCCAAAACCCAGGCCAACAGCCAGACCTGCAACAAATTGACAAAGGTGTTCAGTGCTGGGCAATGATGGTGTTCCCCCAGACAGATATCAGCTTCTGCCCACCAACAAGCTCTCCCAGACACGCACGTGACCAGAAGATAAAGGAGATTTGCCCAAGTCGGGCTCTTCCTGCAAAAGTATCCTCTGTCCCCACCATCTCATAGTCACACTACTCGTCAGCAGGGATCCAGCACTGCTGGACATGGGATCGGGGACATCCACAGGCCGAGGGCACCCCGACATCAGGATGCAGGGATCCAACCTTGAGTAGGCCCACCCACGCCAGAGTCTTGGCAAAGAGCCTCCAGAAGGCTCTGGTTTCATTCCCAGACACTAATGGCATCCACCACCAAACAGGTGGTGGGAGGGGATGGCAAAGAGAATTCAGCAAAAGACCAGGTGTCCCTGGTCCAAACCCATGGCTGCAGGTCTCACGTGGGAGGGATGGACCCCCCTCACCACTGCACCCGAATCTGACAGAGCTGATGCTGGGCAAGCTTGGGCCTTGCCTCCCCTCCCTTCTGGAATCTTCTGACCAGACCACCTCATCTGTTTGAGGACCTCCACTATCCAGAAGGTCAAAACAGACAAGAGGTCAGGAGCAGCCTACAGCTGAGAGGGGTCACCAGCCCCAAGCAGGAAAGCCCAAGGGCTGTTTTCTGATTCCCACACGCTCACTGCTTCCCCAGGCACCCCCTGAGCAGAGGTTTACCTGAAAAACTTAGCAGACAAGCACTGTCATGGACTGAACTGTGTCCCCAAAGTACATCAACTTGTGTCAACTTGGCTGGACCACAATACTCAGCAGTTCAATTATGTAATGATGGAACGTGATATGATGTTAATGTACCATGCTCAGCATCTGAGAGCTGAACAGTGAAAAAGAATGACAGAAGAACCGATACATTTGAGCTGTGGTGCTTGAGATGGGTGCTGAACATCCCATAGACTGCTGAGAGAACAGACATGCACTGGAGAAGGTGCAGCCAGAATGCTCACTGGAGGTAAGCAGAGTGAAGCTTTGTCTCACATACTCTGGGCATGTTGCTAGGAGAGGCTATTCTTTGAAGAGCATCATCATGCTTGGAAAGGTGAGGGACGCTGACAAGAGAGGAAGACCCTCAACCAGATGGACTGACATGGTGAGTGCTGCAGTGGACGTGGTGTGCAAGGGACGTGGGGATGGCGCAGGACAGGGCGGGATTCAGATGTATTGTTCACAGGGTCGCTATGGGTCAAACTCAACTCCACGGCACCCACAACAACGTCATCAACGTCGTGTCATGTTACGTGATGATACAAGGATGGGTGAGTTGTACAGAGGTTCAGGAGGGATTCAGTGCCTTTATTCAGGTCACAATCCTGATCAGATGTTAGGGGTGTTTCTGCGGGGTACAGTCTGCATCCCCTTTTATCTTACAAGACAGAAGAGAGAAGTGGCCAGAAAAGGGGTGCTACCCTCTCGTTGTTAGGTGTCATTGAGTCAACGATGACTTGCAGTGCCCCTCTGAACAGCACCGTCCCTGTGAGGTTGCCACACCATGTCACCCATCCCACTGAGGGCACAACTAGCATCAAAAAAGGAGATCCTGGAGCAGAGCGCAACCTCTGGGCCAGGGGAGACACATGGAGTTGTGCAGGACGCAGAGGGCCAAGGAGAGAGCACATGCACAGCTTCCCGAGCTGGGACAAAATCCTGGTGCTTGCTCAAGGCACCCATTTGATGCACTTGTCGTTTGTCTTTAAGGCTATACAGGGTTTCTATCTTATATTGCTTTGCATGCAAAATCTGTATGCACTGTGTTTCATTCATATGCACTGTTTCACACATTCCTTCATTCACACTGTGTCTGATGCAACCATTCTGATGCACTGTGGTTTTTTTTAATTTTTTTTTTTTTTTGCACTGTGTTTTAGAAGACCAGTCACCACTGAACTACGCCCACTATCAGCTCACCTTTTGAGGCCCCCTCTGGATCTCTCCTAATTCCTTCAACCACTCCCTCTGCTCACCAAACTCAGTGATCTTGTGATTTCCCTTGCTCCGCACCCTCAGCTCTCCAGCTCCCCTCCTTCCTCTCTGGACTTTTATCCACATCTTACTAGTTTACCTTCTATTTTTACAATAAAGGTCTTATGCAGTATTTGTCCATATGAGACCTAGCACTTGTGGCATTTCTGTCAGAGCAGCACTAGGTAAGTGAGAAGGCAGGCAGGCCGCCGGCCCCAAGGCCAGCAAAGACCCTAGGAAGGGAACAAAAGGCCCTCAGCTGAGCCTTCAAGCAGCAACCCAAGGTTGGACCCTTTCCCTTGCATGCAATACATATTTCCTTTCTCCTTCATCTCTGAGGCTGATTCTGACTTTGGGCTTCGATTCAAATTCACTGTCACCACCCTCCTCCAGTGTGGTGACACCCCGCTGGCCTAGAGCAGCACCTGGGCGGAGGAGGGGCTCACTCACAGGACAGGCGAGCAAACCCATAGTATTCACATGCTTTTGCAGTGTCCACGTTTCTCCAACAACTAGGCACTGCTTTTAAATCAGAAAAATACTAACAGAATTTTAAAAGATTAGTTCCATTTTTAAAAAAATGTTTTTCGCAATACATCCTACCCACCATTAGGCCACTGTGTTTAACAGCAGTTCCTGCCTCCTGGACCAATAAGGTAATGTGCTGACAGCAGGGCTGAGTGAGAAGCAGCTCAGAGAAATGTCTGCTGATGCTGTTGTTGCTGTTGTGTGCCGTCGAGTTGGAACCTACCCACAACTGACCCTCCAGCTGAGGCTGTAAATCACACGGAAGGATACGGCCACTCTTCCTCAAGCGGAGCATCTGGTGGATTCAAACCACAGACCTTTGCACCAGCAGCACAATTCCTTACCATTAAGCCACCAGAGCTGTCCCTCTTACTCAAATTGTTGCACCAGTGCTGTCCAACAGAACGCAAGCCACGTGAGTTATTTAAAACATCTAGTAGTCCCATTATGAAAGGAAGAAGCAGATGGAATTAATTTTAATAATATCAGTTAACATAGAATATCTAAAATATTATGTCAGTACGTAACCGACATAAAATTCAGTGACGATTCTGATATCTCCCCAACCCACAGCTGTCAAGCTGATTCTGATTCACAGGGGCACAACAGGGCCGAGGAGGGCTGCCCACAAGGTGTCCCGGTAGGCAGATCACCACAGACTTCTCCCAGGGAGCAGCCCCTGGGCTCAAAACAACCGACCTCTGGGTCAGCCGTCAGGAGTTTAACCACTATGCGGCCAGATGTGGATTTTACACTTCCGGGGCTTCTCACCTGGAAGAATCACATTTCAAATGCTGGGCAGCCCCACCAGGCTGGTGATGCCTGTGCAGCTCAGTGCCAGTTTACGGCAGCCCTGGTCCTGTGGGAAGCCACCACTGTCTTGTGCAAAGGGCCCTAAGGTGGAAGCACACCTGGAAGGCATCTGGGTGGCCTGGGGAGAAGGTGTCCAGCACAGGGACCTGGAGCGCTGGATATGGAATGGGGAGAATGGTTTTGTTCCCCTTCTGACCCAAACTAGCCCCATCCCCAGTTCTGAGCACAGAGCCGGGAGCCAGGGCCTCCGATTACACATTAACTCGCTGCCGCCTGCCCCCACCACCCTAACCAGCACACTTCGATTTTGCAAGATTGATAAGAGACCTTCACACTACCGTGACCTACATCAGTGTCCCTCTGTATTTATGTTTCCTCTGCTCAGGTCAAGTTCAGAGGCAAACCTGTAAAGAGTGGTAGAGTGGTTGCAGGTTGGCCAGCCTGGCCCTTGGGGGCAGCACAGAGCAGGCGGGAACACAAGGAATGAATCCTCATTCCAGATCCGTCAACACCTCAGCTGAACTCCCCTTATCTATTACAGGGCTGTCCATCCACAGTGCTCTGTCAAATCCTTTTCTGACCACTTCCAGGCATGCTAGTAACCAAGGACTTGCCATTAAACAAATCACCAAAGGACACACACCAGGGAGGCCTCAGACTCCTTCTGTGTCCCTACATGCTCCCAAAGGGTCAGCCCAGTGCTCGGCCTGCAGAGGTGGCCACTAAAAGGAAGGCCCAGCCTGGAACCCTAACCTCAGCCCAAAGCGCCCCTGCTCAGAGGAGAGGCTGCCTCCCCTGCCCGCCAAATGCTCCTGCCCCCAAGAACCTTGAGGACAAGGAAGGGCCAGGCCCAGAGGCCCCCTCCACCCAGAAGCATCATGCTTGCATGGTGACCCCTGGAAGACAAGTGGCCTAGGCCCTGGACCCCCTTTCTGGTAAAGCTTGAGGCAAGGGCAAAGTTTCTATTTGTTTTTCACAGGGTTGATTCAGTTGAATCTAATAATAATTTAGTAGCTGACAGAACAGACAAAGAAAAGAAATCTTAAAATATCAACATGAGTATCAAACGTGATCTAACTGAGAGAGACCCCATGGCTATACCCGAAAGTGCCAGAACACATACTATCCAAGTGTACACATGGAGATTTATCACCACCTTTCCACTGAATTCATGACAAACCTTTATTTTACAGAAAGAAAACTAAAATAGGGCCCGAGGTCACATGGGAAGCAGGGCTGGCATTAGAACTCAGATACTGTTGTTGCCAGGTGCCGTACAACTCAGCGATGCTATGGCCAACTGACCTGACCCCTGTCTTGTCCTGTGCTGTCCTCATTATCTCTGACACACGCGAGCCCATTGCTGCAGTCAGTGTATCAATCCCTCTTGTTGTGGGTCTTCCTGTTTTTCGCTGAGCCTCCATCTTTCCAAGCATGATGTCCCTTTTCCAAAGAAGAGCCTGTCCTAGCAACATGTCCAACATATGGGAGACAAAGCTTCGCCATCTTTGCCTCCATGGAGCACACTGGCTGCACTTTTTCCAAGCTGTTATATGTTTGTTCTTTTGTCTGTCTATAGGCTACTGAACTCTGGCCTTAAATCTAGTATCTGACCTTTTTTTACAAATCCTGCTATCTCTAGTTCACTTTACCCATAGCATAACAGCCACAGCGTCACACTTACAGTCACATGAGGCTAAGTGTCAAAATCCATTACCCAACCTGAAAAGCCCGATTCCACCCCCACACAGAGGAACTCCTACTCCAGACCCCTCAACACGGCCCCCACACAAGCCCGCCCTCCCTAACATGTAGCCCAAGCCTTCCCCTCATATTCCCAATGTGTGATAAATGCTAAAATCTCTGTGCCTGAGTCTCCAACATCTCCTACCCACGAGAAGAGCAAAGAGAAAGGCTGGAAGTGTTTTCTGGGAACACAAAGCAGTATTAAACAGTGGGACAGTGATCCATCAGCACATCATCTATTTTACATTTTCATGACGGGGATGCAAATACACAATTTTTTCATCTCTGAAACAAAAGTATTTCTGCAAAGCATGCTGTGCCTTCTATGGGTCTATGAGATTGATTCTGACCTTTCCTAGTCAGGTCTGCTCTATTTATTTTGGGTGGGGTTTTTTTTTTTAAAAATCTGGACCCACTGAACTAAATGCACTTGACACTTCATGCTCACGGGAGGGTCACTGCCTGGCGAGGGGAAGCGTGGTGCCCAGAGCTCACCTCTAGGGTAGGAACAGCACGTTCTTTTCTAAGCTGGCTTCTCCCTGCTCCTGCCCTGGCACCTCTCAGCCTCAAACATTGGCTGCCAACTTTTCGGGCAACAGTGTGTACAGTTCAGAGTCAACAACTATGAGCCAAGCTCACGCACACAGAAACCCAAGGATGGTTCCCAGCATGGGCCAGCTGTCAACAGCTTCTCAGGAGGCACAGAGCACCCACGGGGACCCAGGTATCTCCTCAGCCCACATCGACAACCCTCTCCCGGCTCCACCCTCCACCTTCCACGCTGAGCGAAGGCTTCGTCCAGGCTCCTGAAGCGCCTGCATACTCTGCACACATTGCTCTAATCTCTCACTTCAGTTTCTGATCCTTCTCCTGCCACCTAAAAAGGTATGAGAGGGGCCTGCTTCCCCAGGACTTTATGGGAATTCTAACAAATCCTACTTCACCATCTGGACGGCCACCCCAAGGACTTTCCCACATAGATCATTAACGCTTTCCGCCCTCATCCCCCAAAGATCTCCGGAGAATCACACCCATTCAGAAAGAGGTCAGTCATGCTAAGCCTCCCAGGACAGGGCTCTGTGATGGACCTCAGTGTGGAGGCAGGAGTCGTTGCTGTAGCTGTTAGACGCTGCTCAGTATGGCTCAGAGTGGCCCTATCAACAACAGACCTGAACCCTGACCTATCTTGTGCCATCCTCACACTTCCTGACAGCAGAGCCCATTGTGGCAGTCACCGTGTCAGTTCACCTGGTGGACAGTCTTCCTCTATTTAGGAACTAAACGGTAGCCGGAGAGAAAGACAGATGTAAGACAAAGCTTTCTCCTGTCCTCAGAGTCACAGCAGAGAGAAGAGAAGCTATCATTAATGTGTATACATTTTTAATGCATTTTATGCAGATAAGATACATTTTAATGCATTTAAAAGGAACATTAAGAAAATTTTTTTAAAACATTAATCCAAATAATAGTCAATAAACAAAGCAAAGTGCCAAGGCTAAGGTACATGAGAGGCCATTAAAACACTGCTCTCAAATCTACAGTGATAGTGGAGCCCAAATAAGTGATGTGTGTCCTGGAGAGAGAAATTATTGAACAATATCATTAATATCACATGTGTAAAATCTGCTCAAGACTATCTCAAAACAGTTAAAACAGTACATTGACAAGGGAACTGCCAGAAATTCAAGCTGAATTCAGAGCTATTGCTGATACAAGGGCTATTGATTGTGGATTCCAGTAAAGTGAAAACCTTGGCGTCAATCTTTTCCCCATCTATCAAGAGGCTAGCTAGTGGTCTACCGGTGAGATTTTCTTTTGTTGATATTGAGATATAATCTGTATTGAAGATTATAGTCTTTAATCTTCTACACAAAGTCCTTCAAAATCTTCACTCAGCATGCAAGGTTGTGTCATCTGCACAACACAGGTTATTGATGATTCTTCCTCCAACCCTGATACCACATTCTTCATATTGTCCAGCTGCTCTATTTGCTCAGTATACAGACTGAGTAGGCACAGGCATGGAAAATGAATACAACCCTGACACATATCTTTCCTGATTTTAAGCCATGTACTGTCCCCTTAATCTGTTTAAGGTAACTGCTTCTTGATCCATCTATAGGTTTCACATGAACACAATTAAGTGTTCTGGGATTCCCATTCTTTCCAAGGTTAGCCATAATTTGTTCTGATTCATGCAGTCAAATGTCTCTATATAATCAATAAAACACAAACAAATATTCTTCAAGTATTCTCTCCTTTCAGCCAACACCCATCTGACATCAGCAACTCTCTCACTCATGCTGTGGCTTCTTCTGAATTCAGCTTGAATTGCATCTGTTTGTTGAAGAAACATGTCAATTGGTATTCCATCAACTCTTGGGGTCTTAATTTTTGCCAATGCCTTCAGTGCAGTTTGAACTACTTCTTTTATTACTGCTGGTCCTTGGTCACATACTACTTCCTGAAATGGTTTAGTGTCAAACAATTCCTTTTGGTGCATTGACTCCTATATTCCTTCCATCACCTTTTGATGCATCCTGTATCATTCAAGACTGTGCCCACAGAATCCTTCAGTATTGAAACTTGAGGCTTGAATTTGTTTTTCAGTTCTTTCCATTTGAGAACTATCTTTTTGATAGTTCTTCCCATTTGAATTTCTAATTTCAGCTCTTTGCCCATTTCACTGTAACACTTTGTTTTGTCTTCATGAACTGCCCTTTGAAACTTTCAAACTTTCACCCCTTTTATCTCAGCATTTCTTCCCTTTCTTTTGGCCTCTCCATGTTTTAGTGCAATTTTCAGTCTCTTCTGACATCTATTTTGGTCTTTCTTTTTCTCAGTCTTTCTAATGACCTTTTGTTTTCTTCTTGGATGATATCCTAATGTCATCTCACAGCTCATCTGCTCTTTGAACATCAGTGTTTAATACATCGGTTCTGTTCTTGAAATAGTTTTTAAATTCAGGTGGAAAAGACTCAAGGTTATCTTTGCCTCCAAGAAGCACTCTGGCTGCTCCTTCTCCAGTCCCATCGTCGGGGAAATCCAGTCCACCCCTCTCCAGCTTGTGCAGGGGCAGCCCGCACTGCCTGCTCCGAATGCTCCTCCCATCTCTACCAGGTCACTTAGGGTGACCACCGCCCCCTCAGCCAGGCAGGACAGGTGGTGCAGGGCACATTACCTCCAAAGTTGGCCAGGCGTCCAATCCTCGTGACCGGCACCTTTCGCTCCCGAGCTCGTTCACTGAGCTGGAGGGAAAAAGACTGTGTGAGACAGGTAAACAGGGCACTGCACACTCCAAATACAGCAGGCCCTCCTCACAGTACGCCCTCTTGGGAGGGCCTCCACATCCCACCCACATACCTGACACAGCCCCCTGGGCGCCCGGACTCACCACCTGCTTGTGGGCCTTGCCCTCTGGGCGAGCCTTGGCCTGCCGGGCCTTTTCAATGTCCTCTGCTGTGAGGCCCCCCACAGGAGCCTGGTCCTGATGGAAGAACCTCCGCTGGATGCCCGAGGCAGAAAACAGGTCCCAGCGGTCTGCAAACAACTTCCCGTTCACCCTGCCCAGAGGGGAGGAGGCCTGGCCTGGGAGCCCAGCTTGGCTGAATGGCCCACTGGCCACGTAGGCCAGAGCGGGGCCCTCATGGGGCTGGTGAAGGTCAGAGGTGGCAGCTGGGTCTCCTTCCACTTGCGAGCCTGAGAAGTGGAACTCTGACTCTGGATCGTCAAAACTCTCAGCAAAAGCCTCTTCATGTTTATCCTGACCCTGCAGGGAAGGAACACAGCACTCAGAGGAGAGAGGGGCCATCCCCTTGCCATCCCCCAACTCTCTCAGCCCTCACAGAGCTTGCTCAGTGCTGTCCTTGGACCAGGAGCAAGGAGACCAGATACCAAACTGTGCTATGAGGTCTCAGAGCAGACCCCACACAGCCAGCAAGGTCTACAATGACAGGATCCCACACAGCCAGCGAGGTCTACAATGACAGGATCCCACACAGCCAGCGAGGTCTGCACTGAGAGGACCCACACAGACAGTGGGGCCTGTAACGAGAGAACCCCACACCCCACACAGCCAGTGGGAACTGCGAATTTTCTATGCACACACTCACTCTCAGGGGCGGGGGACCCTTGCAAGCCCCAATGAATATATGATTAGGTATTATTGTCATGAGAAGAGTCTAGAATGAAAACTGCATAGTGTGGTGTACTGAGGGGTGAGAATTTTGTAACAATGAAAGATTTTTTTTTCACTTGTCAAAGAAAAAATTGAACTTGGGGGAGGGGTGGGAAGGGAGGAAAGTGTACAACAATGAATGGAAATCCAAAAAGAAATCAAAAGAAAAGAAATTTTTTTAGAAAAAGAGTAAGGGAATGGCTCCCCATTAGAAAAGTTCCCAAGCGAGGCAGCCAGGGCCATAGCCTACCCAAGGGGACAAAGGGACAGACAGAGATTGAGATGGCTCCTTAACAACTGTTTGTAGTCTATTTCCTCATCTGGGAAATGGAGAGAAGCAAGCAGCGAGGCGTGCCCCCACTTTGGACAGGGCAGAGGCTCGGATGAGATCATAAATGTGAAGACTTCCAGAAGGTAAAAGCACATATGCAGAATCAAAGTTAATTTATCTTTGCAGTGGACCCTCAGAACGTGGTCCCATGCTGAGGAGGGGGGGCTAGGAATTCTACCCCTGGGCCTGAGCAGGGGCCTGAGAGTGTGACGTTGTCACAGCTTTAAGGAATGTGCTAACTTTGTCCATAGGGTTCAGCAACTACAGTACAAACGCAGGATGTGTGAGGAGGCATTTGTTGTTGCTGGGTGCCGTGGGGTCACATACGACTCTGAATGACCCTATGAACTCTGTCCTGTCCTGTGCCGTCCTCACCATCTCTGACACACTTGAGCCCACTGCTGCAGTCACTGTGTCAATCTGTCTAGCTGAGGGTCTTCCTCTTTTTGGCTGACCCTCCACCTTCCAAGCACGCCCCTCTCTAACGTTCCTAACAACACGCCAAAGTATAAGAGATGAAGTTTTGTCACCTTTGCCTCCAAAGACCACTGTGGCTGTACTTTCTTCAAGACATTATCTTTCAGCATTCCATAGTACATTCAGTACTCTTTTCCAACACCACCACTCAAAGGTATCAGTTCTTCTGTCATTCTTATTTATTGTACAGCTCTCAGATGCATAACAAGTGACTGAAAAGACCATTGCCTGGATTAGGCACACCTTAGTCCTCAAACTCACATCATTCATTACTCAGTAATCAAACTCAGTAATTGGGAAAGGTCCTTGACTGCATACTTTCTCAATGCAAGTAATCTCCTGATCTCCCGACTGCTGGTACCAAGGGTGCTGATTATGGAGACAAGTAAGAAAGTCATTGACAAGTGGTGAGAATTTTTGTTTTCTTGATGGAGGCAGAGAACACCCTGGAAAGCTACTTACAGTGTACACAAAGAGACAGACAGACAGACATGCACGCTCCTACTTATGCCTGCGAGCTGTTAGGAAAGTCACTGGTGACCGTGCAGTGACATCCATGGAGACCTCGCCCTGCCTCAGCAAGTCCTTCTGTCACCTCTCCTGCAGGTCTACCTGTGCCAAACTTCTTCAGTGCGAGGAAAAATGTGGAACTTGTCTGGACAGTAATTCATAAGGTGATCCCGAGAACTGGAGGGGTGTGCGGAGGCCAGAAACCCGAGGACTGGTGCCAAGGCTACACCAGCTACCGCCTGGGCACAAGCAGAGCACAACGGAGCCCCTCATCTGAACTACACAGGTTCTGGACTAGGCCCGCCAGGGATTCCCTTCTGGCTCCATGACACACACTGGAGTAAAGATGAAATGCTCAGGATGGCTCAGGAGGCCCTTGCTGGCCAAGTAAGAAAGCCCACCACACTGGCTTGCAGGCTCTGTGGCCCAGGCCACTGCACCTGTCACCAGTTCACAAACCCCTCCTCCCTTTCCTTCCACAGCCTGGGGGACCCGCTTACCCGTAGCTGCCCGAAGACCATGGCAAACTGCTCCGTGGCTGTGGACGTCAGGGCCCTGGCTGCAGTAAGGAGCTCCGCGCTGAGGCCCAGGTGTTGTAGGTGGGTCTCCAGGGCGGCCTGGGCCAGCGTGGCCAGGCCCCTCATCACCATGACAGCGTCTCCCAACATAGCGGCTCTTCTGAGGGCTGGAAGAGAGTGCCACAGGTCACACTCGAGCTGCACCCTGATGCTGGGCAGGAGGCTGCTGGGGGTTTTCCCATGACCCACACTGATCCAGGCAGACAGAGGGGGAAGGGATCAGGATCAAGGTGAACTTGGGGGCCAACCTCAACACGCTGGAGCACAGCGGCAAAAGGAAAGATGGTGATACAGGTGCTGCTGAGCTGGCACTGTACACCTGGTGAGAGGGGGTCCGTGTGTGTGTGCACACGCACTCGGGTGAACTTCCCTCCCTACCGAGTCCCACTAGAAAATGTATTTCTTAATAGAGTTCAGGGAGCTCTGGTCGCCTAGTGGAAAGACACTGTGCTGCAATCTCAGAGGCATGTGGTTTGAATACACCTGCTGCTCCACAGAGAAAGATGGGCAATCTCTTGTGCAATTAATTGCCTCTGAAAACCCACTGGAGGATCAGCTATGGATGGGTCAGCCCATTAGTAGAGTTTAGGCTCAAAATATAGCAACCACCAACATAAGCAATGAGGTCTGCTAGCATGTGGAGACTGACGCAAATCCTCATGGGGGCCCTGCAACTCAGAGAAGCTGTCCAGGGAAACGGAATCTGACGTTGCATTTTAGGGATAAGATAGTGCTGAAGGGCAGGTACGGAAACAGCACAGATGTGTGGAGATTCAGAAGACCCGGTCCACCCCAGAGTCAGGCCATGGGGCAGCAGAGAGAAGAAGACCACCTCAGAACCACTGAGGGTTCACTTTCCAAACACATTCACTAGCAGATGCACAGAGACAGAACACTCACAGAGGGGCACTAACAGGGGCCTTCCCCAGAACCTAGGGACATCCCCCTGTCCTTTCCAGGGGACCAGCCCCAGTCCAAACCAGGGATTCCTGGACACGGGCCAAAGCCAGTGGGGCAAATATTTTTTCCTTTAAGAGAAAAAAATGAAATTGCATTGATAGTTAAAGAAACTTGCCACTGCACAGAAGCTGAGCCCCCCGTCCCAGGCCCCCTTGGAACGCCACGTTCTCTGAAGGTGTGACACAGGACAGACCTCATCCATCAACTCTCTCCTAATCTGCAGATAAAAAAAAAACAAACCCAACACCCCAATGTGGTTATTACCATCCCACTTTGCAAGTCAGGGAATCAAAGCGGGAAAGCTGCACTAACAGGTCAAGGTCTCTCAACTCAAGTGGTGGGTGCAAGGTCCCACCCAGCCCTGGCCAGCGGCTCCTCTCATGGTGGTGGCCATCAACTCAAAGGCACCTCTTCAGTGACAGGTACCGCTCAGACACAAACAGACTACCCACCCTCCAGTGGGAATCAAAGAAGGTTCTGGAAGGTGAGCGTATCCTTGAAAGACAAGGAAGGTTCTGGAAGGTGAGCATATCCATGAAAGAAAAGGAAGGTTCTGGAAGGTAAGCGTATCCTTGGAAGACAAGGAAGGTTCTGGAAGGTGAACGTATCCTTGAAAGGCAAGGAAGGTTCTGCAAGGTAGGCATATCCTTGGAAGACAAGGAAGGTTCTGGAAAGTGATGGTATCCTTGAAGGACACACCATAGAGAAGGGCAGGGGGAGGAGTGGTGGTCGGCCCAGGCTGGCCTGTCCCTTGGTGCCATTTCACAGCCTGGGTCTGCTCCAGGCTCCTGAACTTCACGGTAATAAACAAGGGAGAGATTGTGGAGCAGGCCTGGAAGGAGATGGAGTCAGCTGAGCCCAGAGGCAGCTGCTCCCCACCCAGCCCACCTCCCACATGCACCACATTGCAGTCACACTTCAGTCACATCCCCAGGGATGAGGGAATGAAGCACTCACAACATCCTCTAGACGCTGGTGAGGGAGATACCAGAGGCTCTGAGCGCATCAGTCAGGGTGGACCCTTGCTGGTGGCCACAGGGCAGTCCTGCTCACCACTGCCCAGGGACCCTGGGAAAGGCCTCCTCCTCTCTCCACTCACCTCTAAATACAATCCAGATAAAGCCACACCCCGACCCCAGCATCTCACATCATACCACGTGCTGTCAAACCCAATTCAGAACTACGACAGAGGAAGAT